TACTTATTTTAGGTCGTTCTATATGAGATAATTTAGACCCGGTACTATAATGATCAGGGTCCATACTATTTTAGGTCGTTCTATACGAGATAATTTAGACCCGGTACTATAATGATCAGGGTCTATAATTGTTTTAGGTCGTTCTGTATGAGATTATTTAGACCCCGGTACTATAATGATCAGGGTCCATACTATTTTAGGTCGTTCTATATGAGATAATTTAGGCCCGGTACTATAATGATCAGGGTCCATACTATTTTAGGTCGTTCTATATGAGATAATTTAGGCCCGGTACTATAATGATCAGGGTCCATACTTATTTTAGGTCGTCCTATATGAGATAATTTAGACCCGGTACTATAATGATCATGGTCTATACTTGTTTTAGGTCGTTCTATATGAGAGAATTTAGACCCGGTACTATAATGATCAGGGTCCATACTTATTTTAGGTCGTCCTATATGAGATAATTTAGACCCGGTACTATAATGATCATGGTCTATACTTGTTTTAGGTCGTTCTATATGAGATAATTTATACCCGGTCCTATAATGATCAGGGTCTATACTTGTTTTAGGTCGTTCTGTATGAGATTATTTAGACCCGGAACTATAATGATCAGGGTCTATACTTGTTTTAGGTCGTTCTATATGAGAGAATTTAGACCCGGTACTATAATGACCAGGGTCTATAATTGTTTTAGGTCGTTCTATATGAGATTATTTAGACTAATTGTTTTAGGTCGTTCTATATGAGATTATCTAGACCCGGTACTATAATGATGAGGGTCTATAATTGTTTTAGGTCGTTCTATATGAGATTATCTAGACCCGGTACTATAATGATGAGGGTCTATAATTGTTTTAGGTCGTTCTATATGAGATTATCTAGACCCGGTACTATAATGATGAGGGTCTATAATTGTTTTAGGTCGTTCTATATGAGATTATTTAGACTAATTGTTTTAGGTCGTTCTATATGAGATTAATTAGTCCCTGTACTATAATGATCAGGGTCTATAATTGTTTAGGTCGTTCTATATGAGATAATTTAGACCCGGTACTATAATGATCAGGTTCTATACTTGTTTTAGGTCGTTCTATATGAGAGAATTTAGACCCGGTACTATAATGACCAGGGTCTATAATTGTTTTAGGTCGTTCTATATGAGATTATTTAGACTAATTGTTTTAGGTCGTTCTATATGAGATTATTTAGACTAATTGTTTTAGGTCGTTCTATATGAGATTATTTAGACTAATTGTTTTAGGTCGTTCTATATGAGATTATTTAGACTAATTGTTTTAGGTCGTTCTATATGAGATTAACTAGACCCTGTACTATAATGATCAGGGTCTATAATTGTTTAGGTCGTTCTATATGAGATAATTTAGACCCGGTACTATAATGACCAGGGTCTATAATTGTTTTAGGTTGTTCTATATGAGATAATTTAGACCCGGCTCTATAATGATCAGGGTCTATAATAGTTTTAGGTCGTTCTATATGAGATTATCTAGACCCGGTACTATAATGATGAGGGTCTATAATTGTTTTAGGTCGTTCTATCTGAGATTATCTAGATCCGGTACTATAATGATCAGGGCCTATAATTGTTTTAGGTCGTTCTATATGAGATTATCTAGATCCGGTACTATAATGATCAGGGCCTATAATTGTTTTAGATCCGGTACTATAATGACCAGGGTCTATAATTGTTTTTGACCCGGTACTATAATGATTAGGGTCTATAATTGTTTTCGACCCGGTACTATAATGATGAGGGTCTATAATTGTTTTAGGTCGTTCTATATGAGATTATCTAGACCCGGTACTATAATGATCAGGGTCTATAATTGTTTTAGGTCGTTCTTTCGTATGGTTTCTATATGAAATTCATTTATGAACATGATTTTAGTAAAATAACTGCATGTTCCTCATTTTAATAATTTTTTGAAGGTATAATATTCCGATGATACAAATTACAGTTTTGACATCTGTTCACTAGCATTTAAGATTTGACAACTAACGGTTTCTTCTATGTCATTGTGAGACAAAAAGTTGAAAATTGATGGGAAGGGGTCGAGAGGGGGATGCTAACGAATAAGCCTACATAACCATTTATGTCAACCCAATAATACAACTTGACTGACTGTACTGGTAAAATAAAATGCAACATTTTAGCGAAGTTTAAGTGACAAATGATTTTTATCCTTAAACAGGNCCCCAAAATAGAGACAAACACAAACGGAACTTTTAGAATATTTTAAACGATATAAATTTTCGTTTTAACTGTTTCATTATATTTTATAGACCACTTGGTTCAAAGAAATAATAATTGATTTCAACTGATAACTGATGTCTACCTGTAATACGCCCCAGGGACAGTAATATTTCGTTCTGGTCAAATCTGAACCATATCAATATTGTTTCATGTTTTTTGTATTACCTTTATACTTATAGGCTTCCTGCTGAACTAAAGCTAGTGACCTAAATACCTGCACAGGTAACTTTGAATAGGAATATCTATCATTGATGTATGAGCTTTAAGCTATCTGACATCTTACAATGGTACATATTTATGTAATATTTCATGATTAATTACACTTAAATTGCTACACCCAGCAACGTGGACACCAATCTAAGGTATGAATAGAAGTACGAATTGTTAGAAAATAGATTCGGCCGAGTCAAGTCTCCGACTCGAGAGGTAGCGCTCGGACTACCGGTGTACTCCTCTAAGATATTATATATATACTGTCTGTATAAAACTTTGTTATGTTGTACTTAACAATCTGTGGAATTCCTAAATACAAAACAATCAATTGTAACAACAACAATCATCTCTGTGTCATCATTCCAACATTATAACGCCTTCCAACTCCCGACGATATATTATTATTAAGTTCAAGTTCTTTATTTACTTTAAGTCTTGCGACTTATCAGTGTAAACATATAATAAACAGGATATTTACATATGTACAAAAAGCCACATTGGTCACAGGAGAATGAACAATACACATATACAAACTGTCATATATCTGATCGTCGTTACATTGACCAGAGACGTATAATACAGGTCTCTGCATTGACAATGAAAAGCGAACGTGCCATGTTGTTTTAGGTCTAGGTCTCAGGTAACCGATCCTGAAGATTCGCTTATAAGTTTTTGAAAGGTCTACAATAGCTTCAGCTATTATTTTCTAAGTGTGACACATTGAATGAAATCGTTAAAATCCCCAATAATTTAGAAATCGTCGATAAAAGTATATTTCAAGGGGGTAACACTTGTACGCCACAGTCAACCGTGAAAATTACAGATTTGTATTGCTTGTAAATGTTAGAACAAACACACATTGTTTGTAATTAAGATTAGTTTCATAAAACCCGACCTTTTCCACATGTTTTTATTTCAGTTTCGGAAATTGTATATATATGGAACAATCTACCACAACAAGTAAGCTATTCTATACTAGAAACAAATACTTTAACCACGGAATTAGATTAGGTTATCTAAGTCCGTGCTTGAGCACATATTTTATCTACTCGTGCTTATACATAAAACAGTCACTTGAACTGAGGAGTGTTGGCCTGGCTTCTGTGTAAGTCTATATGTTGTTCACTATTGCAGTTTCTTTGTATACTTGTTGTTTTGTTATTTGCCTTCAAGTTACTATGTTTCTATAAATGAGCAATACAATTATTGCAATTGATGCGCCCAAAGTTAGAAAATCTGAAATGCTGATTGACGAACATTTGAAGAATGGTTGTAATTATAATATGTATTACCACAAATTTACCTGAATTGTATACGTACATTGTTATATAATGGGCATTGTATTACCTGAAAAAGTACATTTGGTAATATTGTATTTATTGATACCGATACCTGCGTCCATCAAAATTCCTAATTATCCTATTAAATATCGACTTCGTTATGATCGTAAGTGTTTTACTCTTTCCGATTATAGGTATATGTAAAAATCGATAATTGTCACGGTTGAATGCAGCAGAGACGTTCATACTATGAACATGGAAGACCACCTCCCATACCCTCCCCCTGCCTCGGGCTACGCGCTTCGGGTGGGGGGACTGCCTTCGGCAACCCCATGTCGGGCTTACACATGGTAAAGGGGTACTCCCATAACATGAGAGGCCGCTGGTCGGCCTTTTTTCAATCGGATATGATTTTGCCGACTGCGACCTCTCATTTCCGAAGCACTAATTCTTTGATGCAGTTTCCGCCCGAAATCCGGGCGGAACAAAATCGGCTTGAAAAACTCACATAAGTGGTTAACAGTTCATGACAACGATGTCTACTCACGGTTTATATAATATTGATCTCATATATATGTCACAGACACAAATATATAGTATATTACGGAATAGAACACTCAAAATACATGTCCATGTCGTTGTAGCACATCTCTGACCTACATTTAAAACATGGCTTCTGGATTAATACAAAATATCAGGGGGAATTTCAAACGGAACGAAATGATACGGAGTTTGTTTGTATTCCGCTTGTAAAACATTACATGTAATCCATTTTTGTATTAACCGGAAAAATCATGGCAAATGCTGTCTGCTTCGCTTCGAATGAGGAAAAACTCATTATTTATTTCTTTGACATGAAATTTTTCTCATATAATCATGGATTTATGGAAAGGAATATTTATTGGACCCTTTTGACCATTTAAATGTATGTAAACACGATATACTCTTTCTTAATCCGAACTTTGAAAATGTGATAGTCAGCATCGGGAAAATCAGCTATGGGCAGTTAGAGGGGGTTACGCGGCGCCTGTCAAACCTCTAACATTGTTGGAGTAGGTAAAGGGGCTAGCTACGCGCCTGGGATCAATGTAACATTTTAATGTATAAGTCCAAGGGGACTTGTATATTTTTATGCATAGGCTCATCAGAAAACGGCATCAGATTAAAATGCCCAACCTTATTTCATAAACGATCAAATCTGGTCTAACCGGTTGAACCGATTTGGTCACGATAAACGATGGCGAATGCCAAACTAAATAATATAACTTCCGGGTCCGGTGAGAGACAGAGCTGTTTACACAATACTTCCAAATAACTACGCTCAAGTTATTCCTACCCTCTTTCACTTTCTGGAGTAAACAATGATGTTCTACGCAGACTATCGAATAGTCTTCTAGTGTAGGTATAGCCAGACTAAAATCTGTGGCGGATCCAGAGACCTATCGGGGACGTTTCCGAAATTCCAAAGGGGGTTTCCGTGTGGGGAAAAATTGAGAAAATTTGTGAAAATTCTCAGCCTGGGGGTGTTTCCTGAAGCCCAAAAAACCCCATGGATCCACCACTATAGGGTTTGGACGATAGAGCTGTTGGCTCGAAGAAATTTTGGGGCGGTATGTTTGTCAAACTTAATTGGGGCGAAATGACCTGTAAACTGGGGCGATGCCAAAACACGGGGAGTGGGGCGAATTGTTTAGGATGTGACGGTTTTGGGGCGAATCGTCTGTAATTCTTACTTGATAAGACTGCATTATATGTACATGTAGGAAGAATGCATATGTAATCCATGTTTCGAAATGCATTACTGGTTTTCGTTTCTATTATAATATGACCAAAATATATGGTGGGATGCATAAGCAGGATCCAGGCACAGGGCGCACTTGGTAATAATCCTGCATTTTGGTATTTGATTATCAATTTTACTAACACACAAAGTTCTGTTACAAATCATGAACAAAAAAAGGACGTCATTTTTTTCTATAATCCAAAGGAAAACCACACAATGAGATAAAATTGTGGAATGCTAGTCGTTTCGGTAACAAGTTGTTTCGGGAGGCCGGACTTTTGCATACATGAGCCATGTACTGTTCCTAACTCTATATAAAACGCTGATTAGACCTCATCTGGAATACTCAACAACACATTTTCATCACCATTTTTTATCCGCGACAAAATTACAATCGAGAACATCCAAAGAAGAGCATTACCAAAAGGATTCCAACTCTTAAAAACGTACCATACGAAGAACGCCTAAGACAACTCCGACTCTCTACTCTCGAATATAGAAGACATCGTGCTGACGTACATGTAGGTAATTCAAACCTACAAAATATTAAACAACATGGACATTCTTGACAAGGGCAAACTATTCCAGGAAGCTGAAGACAACCGAACCAGGGGGCACTCCAGGAAACTATTAAAAAAACCATGCAGACTAAACAAATATGGTAATTTGTACAGCAACAGAGTGATAAATATGTGGAACTCTCTAACAGAGGAGGTAGTAATCTCTCCAAAGCTGAACACCTTCAAGTCACGGCTCAACAGCCACTGGAAACATCATCCGACAAAATTCAAGCCATCTTTTTATTAGTTCTATATATATATTTGCAAGTCTAATCAGTCAAAAGTGAACAATGTAACAAATTGACTGTTTGGCACTGACCATGCTTTTAAAAATCACATGTTTTTAATACGCGTGTGTACAGCATACATTAGAAGAAAAGAATATTATACATCACCACAAGCTACGAGCTAGCTTATATTACAACGATGTCATCTGAACGAAATTGAGCAAAGTCATTTCGGGACATGACACAAGATGTTTCGGGTTTTAATCAAGTCGTTTTGGGACATATAAAATTTCCACTTATAAAGTACATTTTGCTCTCGTTTCATATAAAGTTATGTAAATACACAAGTACGGTTTTAGTCTATGACCTGTGTCACGACTTGCCCGTGCTTGGGATCATTGAAGAAGTGTTAACAGATTGGTATCATTGCTAGTGCTTGAGGGGATACCTACCAACATTGACCTGAGTGAAAGTGTGTGTTAACTGGTGAAACTTACTCATTATCAAATACAGATCTAGAGGAACTTATGAAATTCAACATTCAATTTCTTGGGTTAATTTCTTGTTTGATATTGTAATAACATGTTTTCAATTCACTCTATTCTCCATTTTTTTTAATTAATTAAAATCGTTCAATAATTTAATATGACACAAGCTTTAGGCAGGGACGTATATGGCTTTATATGTGATCTGCTTTAGGAGAGTGTCGGTGTCATTGTCATAAAAAGGGGCTCGTTTCATATCAAATTATTGAACGAGTTTAATAAATTCAATATGAGATGGACACGAGTGTAGGATACTATTTATCACATAATATTCTTAGATTGAAAAAAACACTATACAGTTAAAAAAAAAGAGTACAATTATGTATTCTCAGGTGATATGACTTTTTTGACCAATCGCAGCACATTTGGGTTTTATTACACAAGTGTAATACGATATTTATGAAATGGCCATATGACATAGTCAAATGGGTCAGTTATGTGATAAATATAGGATCTTATATAAGTTTCCATTACATATGAGATTTATGAAACAAGTCTTTGAATTTTAAAATGAAAAATTCCAGAAGAGTTTCATAAATTTCGTATGAAATGAAAACCAGTGTAAGATCCTTTTTATCACATAACCAAGATTTGTGGCATTTATTCGTGTATTGTAAAACGACAATTTTTATGCAACCTTGAAATGTAAAAACGCTCCATTTTGACTCCAGTGTGTAAGTCTGTGACGTCATGTACTTGTCCGAGGCGTAACGTCACAATTGAAACAATTGAAACTTACAACCAATCACAGGGCTGATAGGTCATCATATTACATGGGTTAATACGCAAAAAACCATGACATGGGTATACTCACTGGATAACACAGTACATTATGTGATAAAAAGGTTTATTTGTTGTGGAACTGGACTGGCTCAGTCGTTGGCGAGAAGGTAGCTTGAGTGGTAGAGTGTTTGTCTAGAGTTTGGAGAGGCTTGGGTTCGAACCCTTGGCTGGTTGTGCATCTTTCTGCTCCTGTAACATATTTAACATTCAGCATTAAACTGCTTTCAGATGAGGTTCTTGCGCATTCCGTACATATAGAATACATAAATACATATTCCAAGTGTGCAGAGAATATAAGTAAGTGTCAACCCTGGAATTTTGAAGAAACGTCATACAATAATAAGATCTTACTGTAACAGAACGAAAAATTCTCTTTGTTAGTATGGAGCTAGTCTGTAGGACCCCGCCAGTAACACAGTATGGAGCTAGTCTGTAGGACCCCCACCAGTAATACAGTATGGAGCTAGTCTGAAGGACCCCCCACCCCCCACCCCCAGAAAAGTATGGAGCTAGTCTGTAGGACCCCCGCCAGTAACAGAGTATGGAGCTAGTCTGTAGGACCCTCGCCAGTAACAGAGTATGGAGCTAGTCTGTAGGACCCCCGCCAGTAACAGAGTATGGAGCTAGTCTGTAGGACCCCACAACAGTAACACAGTATGGAGCTAGTCTGTAGGACCCCTGCCAGTAACACAGTATGGAGCTAGTCTGTAGGACCCCCGCCAGTAACACAGTATGGAGCTAGTCTGTAGGACCCCCACCAGTAACACAGTATGGAGCTATAGTCTGTAGGACCCCACCAGTAATACAGTATGGAGCTAGTCTGAAGGACCCCCCCCCCCCCCCCCACCCCCAGAACAGTATGGAGCTAGTCTGCAGGACCCTCGCCGGTAACACAGTATGGAGCTAGACTGTAGGACCCCCACCAGTAACACAGTATGGAGCTAGTCTGTAGGACCCCCACCATTAACACAGTATGGAGCTAGTTTGTAGGACCCCCACCAGTAGCACAGTATGGAGCTAGTCTGTAGGACCCCCACCAGTAACACAGTATGGAGCTAGTCTGTAGGACCCTCACCGGTAACACAGTATGGAGCTAGTCTGTAGGACCCCCACCAGTAACACAGTATGGAGCTAGTCTGTAGGACCCCCACCAGTAACAGGATATAAATCTATTTGAAAGTGTACAGAGCTGATTTGAACTTATTGCCGGGAATGAACATATATGTGGTAAGAAGAATGATTCAAGAAGTTAAATCTGCCATCATTTTCCTAGGGAGATATAATTGCACACACTTGAACATGTTTGAGAACAGAATTGACAAGTACTGGAGGTTGGTAGAGGGGACCATAGGGCCTGTAAAACATTATATTTACACTCCTATCATTGATAATTTACAACAAAAACCAGACTTTTATCACAGTAAATTAAATTACGTAAAAATCAATCAATGCCATGAATTATATAGCACAGATAATGTGGATTATTCTCATGGAACTGAAAGTATTTAGACCTTAAGTAATAATGATATAGTAATAAGTCAAATCTCTGCAAACCAGTCTCTACCTTATTATGATAAATCATAGGTAAGTTCAAACAATGTCTTTGCTTGGCCAAGTAGTACTTGGCATTTCAATTTAGCCATCTGTGTGCATGTGATTATCATATTTTTTGTCTCTTTTTACAGATGATAGTGACAACAGAAATACCAGGATGAGGTGGAATTCCTTATCTGTTTGACAATGGATTATGCACCCCCACTTCCCAGAGAAAGATACAAGCATCTAAGAGACCCAGAGCTACGCAGAAAGAGTTACAAAAAATGGCCCTCCGGTACCAGTGACACTCTTTTTAGGGAACTCATTGATGAAGGGTTTTTCAGTATTGATGAAGAAAAACGGAAAGTTCAATGCGTCTACTGTGGTGGTGTGCTCGTTGGCATTGAAGAGGGACAGAATGTTCATATAACTCATTATCGACATTTTCCAACATGTGATAGATTCAAGTGGCGTGAAGCTGATTTTGAATCACTGTTTGGCCCCATTCATGGCATTGTTAGTGGGGTTCATAACTTGTCTATGGCAGGCTCGGCAACAGCTAACGGTGTATCCTTAGATTCTACAGATGAGGGATATCAGAGCATACAAAAAGATCTGGAAGTTGATGGTTTCAATTCCAATTCCTATTTAGATGGAAGACAGAGAGACTCCTCCAATCCATTTTACACAATAGGAGAAGAAAAGTACCCACGCCACACCTATTATGCATTATTTATAGATCGAATGAAGACATTTAAAAAATGGCCTGAGGATTCATGTCAAACTCCCAAAGCACTTGCAGGAGCAGGACTTTTTTATACAGGTAGAAACTGTTTATATGGACCTCGGGTGTGTTACTTGTAAGGTTTGGTTTCTTTAAATCAGATTCTGTTACAGGTATAATTTGATCCTGGGGAAATCATACAACATACACAAGTACTAGTATTCTCAAAGGTTTGTCCCCTTCTCCCTGTAGGCTTGAGACTAGGGCATTCCACAGCCATAGTAACATGACGCCATGTCAACAATGCATTAATATCACATCAATAATTCATTTACCTTGCAACATCAACATTGCAGATGAACATAGCCCACAAGGTTAGAAAAAAAGAATCATTTGCTCCCTTCGGGATGAGATGGGGTGCATCCTAACCATGTTTTGAAGTTGTCAAACACTCAGCAAGCCTAATGTTTGGCAACTTAAAAGTCTCCCACCTGAGTTGAATTGCCCTTTCTCACCCTTAAGGAGGTGAAATGAGTCTATTTATATCATATGAATCCTTGGTAAGAACAGTATGATTAACTGGATCTCAAGAAATGGTTGTTGATTAACTTGATTGTATTTATAAATCAGCAGACATATCTGATCTGCCCCTTCTCAAACCACAACTAAACATTAAACAACAAAAAGAACAATAAACTTGTATAGCTACTATTTAACATCACTCAAAACTGTTTAATCATATCTCCATGTCTAGCTTTGAGCCGCAGACTGTTTTTTCTCTTACCTGGACAGGTGTATCCACACTTTTATCGGTGCGATTTTTCCTTGTCTCACCCTAGAGTTGAGACATGGGGGG